CGTACCACTTCTGAGGAGTACTATATCAACGCATTTAGCCGAACTTGCTTTGTCGGCGACGCCCAGGACACAGATCCTGAGGACATCAGCGAAGCAGAGCTGGTGCCCGATGCTGAGATGCCTCAGCGAGGTGCCCCTGATGGGGTGGATGATGCCGGTGGCGCACTGACGCCCGAGGAAAGAGAACGCCTCATTTTGGAACAATTCCCGTTCCCCGGAACGCCGAATACAGAGGCAGAGCGCCGAGCGGCGTGGAGATCGTTACCGCAACGAGTCCGGGTAGCTATAAGGCGCCTGCACCGATCGTTTGGCCATCTGCCAAACGCAGTCCTGGTTCAGGTCCTGAAGCAGGCCCGGGCGAGCAAGGATTTCATCGCCGCCGCCGGACTTTACAAGTGTAAGGTCTGCCTGGACACAGCTCCAGTGCCCAGGCATCACCCTGTCGCAGGCGATAGCGTATTCCCAAAGGAGTTCAACCATACGATAGGTATGGATGCGCTAGAGGTCAAAGACTTCTATGGAAATCGCTATACTGCTGTCAATATAGTTGACATGGGAACAAGTTTCCAGCAAGTTGTGCTCGTGAAATCTGGGGGTGGTAACCCAAGTGCCCGCCAGTGTGTGAAATGCCTGATCGACAGGTGGATCAGCTGGGCTGGACATCCCAAAGTCATAACCACTGACAGAGGGACGCACTTCAGGGGAGAATTTTCAGAGTATTTGGCACAGCATGGTATAACCCATAAGAACGCCCCTCTTGAGAGCCCGCAGACTATTGGAAAGGTCGAACGTCATGGTGGACTTGCTAAGGCCATCATCAGAAAAGTCGCGCAGGAGGCTCAGCCCTCGAATATCGAGGAGATGGAGGCGGTCGTTACCGAAAGTGTTACTACTAAGAACGAGCTTAGTAGACACCAAGGGTTTAGCCCGGCACAACACGTGTTGGGAAAGCAGCCTCGAACGCCGGGTTCCGTGCTAGATGAATCCGAAAGCCTTGGTACATTGTTCACCAAGTATGATGAGACGAGTGTATACTACATTCGGCACAGAGCACGGCAGGAAGCCAAAAAGGCCTTTGTTCACTTAGAGACTTCCCGCAAAGTGGCCAAAGCGTTACAGCGTAATGCAGCCCCTCTAGACACTGACTATAAGGTTGGTGATTTAGTTATCTACCGTCGGGATAACGTCCCTGGCAGCCCAGGTGTCGTGTGGTCCACGGTTAGCCGCGTCATAGGACGTGAGGCAGAGAATGCGTACTGGGTATTACACGAGAATATCCCTGTACTTGTGAACGCTAGGAAGATGCGCCCGGCTGATGAAATTGAAGTTGCAGCGCATCGCGTTTTGGCAGGAGAACCAGTGCTTCCGGAAGCCATTGTCCATGGGCCGGAACAAAGGTTCCAGGATGAGCGCGTAGCAGATCCGGTCACAGCACCAGCGACGCCACGTCCAGTGGCTGCAGCTGCCCCGCTTACACCGGCAGTCGCGCACGATGTGTCTATGCCAGCACCATCGACGCCAGCGATGATGCCCGGCACACCGATGCCAGCGCCATCCACACCTGCAAGGTTTCGCGCCAAAGATAAGACGGGCGAAACCGCCCGGTCGCGATCGCCAGTAGGAGGCCGTGATGATGCACTAGTTGCGGAAGAGATTGATCAAGTAGAGATCATGGCAAAAGGCCTGATAGATACTCAGGGTTTTTCTCCAGATGAGTGTCTGGCCCTCCTTCGTGCTTATGACCGCGACCGACGCGAGGCGTACACGCGCCCGCTCCTAGATGATGGAGATCCCGGGAGCATAGCCCTCGCGGTGGGAGTATATCGGCACGGTGGTCTTGTTGGTGTCTCTGGACCAACGCGCGAGAGACCGTCGTTCGCCATGTACCTCAACCACTACCTCTTGCATCACAGTATGCAAGCCGGTCACCATCTTCCACAGTGGAGTAGCGTTCAGCTTACCAACAGAGGCGCAGAGGCCCATAGAGACCTAGCGAACACTCCTGGCTCGTATAACTACACTATAGGTGTGGGCGAGTATCGTGGAGGCGGTCTATGGGTGGAAGAAGCCACGGGTACAACCCCCGTGCGTGTTCAAAACACGACAATGTATGGCACCGTCCATGATACTAAGAACAAGGTTCTTAAGTTTCGCCCGAAGGACGTGCACATGGTCGCACCGTTTGTAGGAGAAAGATACAGTCTCTCCGCATACACGGTGAGTGATCTCGGCAAGTTGTCTAAAGATGACATACAGCTTTTGTCGGACTTAGGCTACCCCATATATAGGGATGCGCCCAACACCTTTGGCAGGAAAGGCGATGGGATATACACCATGGGTCACTCTGATCTTCCCATCGAGACGTTCCTAGAGCGCATCCACGAGTACGGGATTAAGGAAATCGTAGATTGCAGAAGCCACCCGTACAGCGTTCGGCATCCACAATATAATTGTGATGAGCTTTCCGCCACATGCTTTGCAAAAGGAGTTGTGTACAGTCACGCCCCCGAGTTAGGCAACAGGAATCGGGGCGGAATTGAAGCCAACCTGCAAGCAGACCAAGGGCTCTGTACGATCGCTAGAATAGTTAGCGAGGCCCACGATGACTTTCACCGAATACTTCTGTTGTGTTCGGAGGCCAGTTGGCGGCGATGCCATCGGCGAAATATCGCCCAGCACATATGGCTCGAGCATTCGAAACTTGCCGAGCACATACGTGCTAACGGACTGCCAGAAGCCCATCCGTGTCACTACATTCCTGAGGAAGACGACGGACTGGCAGCAGCATCGCACACAGCTGCGATTGGCACGACTGTGCCAGCAGCTGAGCCCTCGGATAGTCGAGCGGCGGAATCCAAGGCCTTTGCTCTCACCCCAGATGGGGAAGACGCCATCGGCTCTAATGTCGATGCTGGCTACATGGCCTCGCTCCTGGATTACCATAAAGCCCCTGTAGAGGTACAGCTGGGGCTGGATGCTGCCATGAAAACTGAATGGCAGAAGTACACTGAATTCAACGCAGTGGTCCCTTGCACAGACAAGGAGTTTAAGGAGCTTACAAAGGCTGGTCACGTGTGTATCCCCACCAAATGGGTCCTCACTGATAAGAATGAACACCTAAAGGGGACGCCAGCATACACTCCCAAGTGGAAAGCACGCTTGGTCGCATGTGGAAACTTCGAGCATATCTCGAATGAGGAGGATATCAGGGCAGACAGCCCCACGGCCGAGCCGGAAGGCATAGCCCTTCTGTGTTCATGGGCGGTTTCGTTGGCCCTGCGGCTCAAAGCAGCCGATATAACGAACGCATACTTCCAAGGGAAACCCCTTGAGCGCCTCCTCATTCTTCGGGTTCCTAAACACCCTAAGGGTGTGCCCGATGCAGAGATTCAGCGAGCCGGGCATATGATTGCCCGAGTACCCGTGTATGGCACGACCGACGCGGGTCGGAACCTTTATCTCCGTATAAAGGAGAGTGCCCGAGAATTTGGCTTAAATGCCTCGCAAATTCTGTCAGCCCTGTACTATATTACAGGAGAAGGTGGTCGTTTGTGTGCTTGCTTGTGCACCCACGTGGATGATTTCCTGTGGGCTGCTACCGCCGAAGGCGAGCCGGCTATCCAGAATCTGCTGGATAAGTTTAAGATCGGTCGCATAGAGACTGAGAAGTTCCGTTTCTGCGGACGCGAGTATGTGCAAAGCGCCGATGGGACCATCAGTATAAACTGTAGGGATAACACGCGTGCAATTCGCCCGATCGATATACATAAATCTGAAAAGGGCACGACCCCAGTCTCGAATGGCCAGCGCACAGCGCTGAGATCCGTCATAGGATCGCTGGCTTGGGTGGCCCGCGCCACGAGACCCGATCTTGCCTATAGGGTGAATGCCCTGCAGCAGCGTGTTACGACAGCCACGGTGGATACACTCCGTGAGGCAAACCGCGTAGTAGCACTGGCGTTAGGAGATGCGGATAGGCCGATCACGTACAGCGCTAAGTTACCCTGGAATACAGGGGAGCTGGCAATTGTCACGTTTTGCGACGCCTCCTTTGCAGGAGAGGCGAACCATAAGTCGCAGAGAGGTCGTTTCCACTATCTCACTTCCGCACAGTCGGCGGTGGACAAGAACGCGTCAACGCATGAGATGCACCTCATTTCATTTTCCTCGTCCACCATGAAACGGGTTTGTCGCGCCACACTCCAGTGTGAGGCTTACTCGTTGCAACATGCCATAGAGCATGGAGACCGCATTCGAGCAGCAGTACTCGAACTGCTCGGCAAACTGCCCCGGTCACAGAATTGGGAAGAAGTCGCCAAGAGATCGATGTTCCACCTGCAGTATACGGACTGCAGGTCACTTTCGGATCACTTGACTGCGTCGATTCCAAAGTCTTGCGAGGATAAACGCCTTGCCATAGAGATGTCTGGACTCCGCCAAGGACTTTGGGAAGAGGACGAGCTAACGCACGCCTTGTACCATCCTTACGGCGACGAGTTGAGATGGATACCGACGCATTTACAACTTGCGGATTGTTTGACTAAGAGTATGAAACCGCTTTTGATCAATCACAGCATTGATCGCAATCTCGTTCAGGTGCTCGATGTGCCCGCGCAAGCCGCACAGAATACCGAGAGTACCGAAAGCACTCCGCTTCGCGATTGAAGAACTCAGCCTAGAGCCTTGAGTCGCCGCACTCGGCTCGGTTGACTGCGCAAGCTCCCGGTATAATCCGGTGAAGTAGGCTTGGCCCAAAGCGGCCATAATTCGAGCATGATTCGGACGTCACACTACAGATAAGACGGGTGTGAAATTTCCCTGTCTTGAAGGGCCGTGTTGACTTGTCCTCATGCGAGCGTAGTTTTTCATGTTCAGTTCTGAATGCACCCTGTACGACAGACGTCTTGGGCTCAGACCAAAAAGTGCGCTCGTAGTGTGGTTGGACACTCACTAATCCAGTTCCTGCTTCAAAATCTCGAAGCTTTGCGACGAGCTTAGAGGTGCAGTCGGCGACACAGATGTGGAGTCCAAGAAGGAGGTCACCAACCTGGCCCTTTCGGCGCTGGAGAGCGTCACTTCGATCGTCGCCGCCCCAGCATTTCGAGCAGTCGCACACTACCCAAAGGCCCCAAAGTAGTTCCTTTTTGGGGTTCGTATATAGAATCCTATAAGGTAATCACAAAAAGGAACTACTATGGGGCCTCTGGGTAGGCCCTGCTAAAGAAACTTAACACGCCGTTTTCTGAAGGCATTAGCAACATCAGTAGCCGCAACAGCACAAGACTTTTTGGTACGGGCAGGGGCGGTAGTGGTGTTGCTGTTGCTGTTGCTGTTGCTGCTTTGCAGTTGTTGCAGTTGTTGCAATAGTAGTAGCAGTAGTAGTAGTAGTAGCAGTTGTGGTGGTGGTACTACCAGTCGTAGTAGCAGTGGCAGGAGCAGCAGCGGCAGCAGCAGCAGCAGTTCCTCCTTCTCTCCCTCACCCTCCTCCTCTGCATCATCACTTGTGTCATTATCAACGTCATCATCAGCACATTGGCGCAATCTACACAACAACCGCATGCAAGAATGATGCACTTGTAGAGCCTTGGTAGTCGCTCACACCCTAAACCCCTAAACCCTATACCCCTCAACCTAAAATCCTAAACTCTAAATCCTAAGGCCCTAAACTCTAAAACCTAAAACCCTAAACCCCAAAACCCTACACCCCTAAAACCCTAAACCCCAAACCCTATACCCCAAAGCCCTAAGCCCAAGCATGCGGCGAGGTAGAGGCGACGGAAGAAAGCTTGCAGCAACTGGGAGACAGTGTCACGAAGGCCTCCTCTTGTCCCAAGTGTGTAGCTCCCGGTTTAGGGTTTAGGGTGAGTACCGGTCCCCTTACAGGGTACTATAGGGTTCTATAGGGGGGTTCCCTTTAAGGGTACTCTATACAGAGTTTGCGTGTAGCAGTTCAGATGAACGGCGTGTTGTACATCGGCATTTTATGCGCCGTCCCCATAAAAAGAGATGCTTCAAACAGTTTAAAACTAGGGTTTGGCCACGTCTTAAGGCCGATATGGTACAAAGGAGCTTTCGTGGTTTGGGGTTTAGTTTCTTGCTGATGGTTGCTTTGGTTATTTGGAGCCAAGACTATCAAACGGGGCGGGGGTAGTCAGGAAGCATGCTTGTCGGCTCTATTGATACAGGGCCAACTTCGTGCAAGCAGTGAACCCAAGAACCCATCAAATCTAGTAGCGCATGCAGCTCACATCACAGATTGCACACTGATTGGCGAATGCTGGCACAGTGTAGCTGAAAAGCGGGTGGTCGGCCCATGAGTAGTAAAACACAGTGCGATGAGACGATGCCGAAAGTGGGCCTACGCCGTCGCAAAGACGGGGACGATGACAACAATTGGCAGTGTTGTTCTTCGCTGGCCCTCAGATGCTATGGCTAGTAGTAGAGTAGGGAACCTTTAACCTTTTTTGGGTAGTATAGCCCCATATAATCCCTATATAACCAAAAAAGGTTAACCTTCAGTTCCCCATGATTCCCGACAAGTAGGTATGATGAATGTGAAGCCCCTGGCCTTGATCCCCCAATCTGCAGTGTCCCTCGCGAGCCACACTGAGAGACGTAGGTGGATATTATGAAACTATGTTATGTTAGTACAGTATGGTAAGTATAGTACAGTACCCATGTTATGTTAGCACAGTATAGTACAGTACACTCTGGGAAGTTTCAGCTTCAACCGAGCTGGAGAGCTTTCCAGCAATTAAACTTTCATGTGGCTGACGCGAAGTTCACGACAAAGCAGCCATGGCAGCAGAGATGCCAGACACCACGTGGGATGTGACGAGCACAACGATCTTCCTGCGGACCTGAGCCAAGACTTCCTAAACCCTAATTCCTGTATCCTAAAGTCTAAACTTCTAAACCCTTCCAACCCGAAGCAACAACCAATGCCTTGTAAGCCCTAAGGGTACAAACAAATTAAAAAAGATTTTCCTCATAAGTATAAGCCCTCAACCCTAAACCCTGAACCCCGACAATGTTGGCCAGGTTGTGGAGTCGAGCGGGACAGCGGCTGACGAATCTGCATTGACGCGCGCGGCTGATGTGCTGGAAAGCTGCCGCGTGCTGAGATGATGATTGTGGGATCGCAGTCGAGGGTTTAGGATCTTTACACCTTAAAAACCCTCAAGCCCTACACCCTAAATCCTTCTAACATCTAGAAACCCTAGACCGCAGCCCCCAAAGCTTAAAGCCCTTAAATTCCTGAACCCTAAACTCCTAAACCCCTCAACCCTAAACCCAGCCCGGGCGCCATGATAGAGATCTACGTTTGGCAATCGCTCAGGTCTAGACTTGGCCTTGCTGCTTGGCTGAAGACGTCCCGCTATGTTCCATACCTATACATAATATCTATAATATCTATAATATATATATATATATATATATATATATATGTAGTATGTATGTATGTATGTATGTATGTATGTATACATATATATATATATATATATATATATAAGGGCCTTAATAATTACCCATACTATTTTTGGGGCTCCTTATTGCTTGCATATACTATGTCCTATACTACCATACTGTTAACTACGTACTAAATACTACATGCTACAGGATCTTGTTGCTTTATGCTGAATTTGTACCTGGAGCTACCAAAAAACGACCGTGCACTATAAAGCGATATACTATTCCGTGTTCTACTTTACACTATGTACTGTGTACTAGATTATTACTACATACGTTATACCATGTGCACAGTCTGGCTTGGTCGTCAGTCTCGGAAGTATCCCTTGCCGTAGGCCATTGCCCACGCAAGATATCTCAAGACTCTAACCGCCCAGAGCCTTAGCCCTAAACCTTATACCTTGTATACCCTCAGCCGTGGAAACCCAAATCCCTCAACCAAAACTCGATGAGAGCACAAGAGGCCCTACAACAAGCAACTTCAAGCTTACATCCTGAAGCCTTAAACTCGACTTCGTAAGCCCTGAACCCACACTAAACCCACATGCTGTTCCCAAATCCCACCCTAATTCCTAAAGCCTACAAACTCCGAACCGAAACCCAAGTTCCAGATGCTTAAGCCCTACCGCCTTCCACTCAGATTTCCCTGTTCTTTGAAACCCAAAACAAGCCCCCCGTCCTAAACGTAAATCCCAGGAATGCCAGCGAGACTGGTGTCTCTTCGGCTGCAGGCACTTCCATTCTTGCGAGCATCGTGACCATCGGGAAGCTTGGTTTTTGATGGCTGCAGGAGGCTGAGGGTTTGTATAAAGGTCCCTTTAAGGTGTTTGAGAAAGGTTACCCATAGTGCGGGTTGCTGCAAAGGTTAGATACTGTAAGGGGTACTAGAACGGTTACTGTGAATGGTGTTGTGTGAATTTCGGGATTTACGGGGTGTAGAGTTCTGGTGCGCTTAGGGCTGTGGGGTTCCAGAAGCCTAGGGATTCGGATTTTCAGGAAGCTTGGTGTTATTTTGGAAAACCATGCAGGTTTACGGAGTTGGCTCTCGGAATCTACACTTGGGGTATATGTACCGCCTATCCGCAAATCCCGCAGATGGGTCCGTATCGTTATGAGCCTGAAGCTTCTGCCCGACAACCCGCAGTCTACGTACAGGCAAACACATATACATAAGTAGAGTCCTACATCCCCAAACTCAGTATATGAAAGCCTTAAGCCTTCAGAACTCGATCCCGAAGCGCCGCGGTGTGCGGAGGCCTGTGATAAGCCCCGGTGGTACACTGGTTCGGCCCAAAGGCTTAATCCCCGAACTCCTACGCCTCTTTTAACCCTGACTTTAGATCCTTTGCGGGGTCCACCGCAAACCCGAAACCACACCCTAAACCCGAAACCCTAAACTCCAAACCCCGACAACCCTGAGCCCTAAAACGTCCCAAACTCTGAATCCTTAACCCAGAAAACCAACCAACACCCTTGTAATCCCCAAACCCCTAAAGCCCCAACGCCGAAAAAGCAAGACTCAGGAAGAGCTCCGGGGATGGCTTGGAGGACGACGGGGCGACCTCGGCTGGAAAAAAGGGATCAATATAGGGGTCTTAGTAAATCGAACAGGGTTTTGGGGAATGTTCTAGTGTGATTAAGGCTCAGTCTACTGCTACTATCGTTGCTCTTTCGATCCCTAGCGCACTCTGGCTACCTGGCTTTCGCCGTTGCCGGCATTGCGATTCTTAGTTAGTATCACTCTACGTAAGTATTCTCAGCGGTATCTTCTCTTCCTAATCAGGGAGCGATGGATGTCGTGCGTGGGAAGGCCAAACACTGTGGGTCGTTTCACTTGGGAACCTAGCAGGTGCCCAGGCAGCCGCGCACGCCTTTCTACCCCCAACCCCCACCCCACCAACCTCTGGCCAACCTCTCTCAACAGAGCAAGGGTTACTACTACTACTACTACTACTACTACTACTACTACTACTACTACTACTACTACTACTACTACTACTACTACTACTACTATACACTACTACTACTACTACTACTACTACTACTACTACTACTACTACTACTACTACTACTACTACTACTACTACTACTACTACTACTACTACTACTACTACTACTACTATACTACTACTACCACTACTACCACTACTACCACTACTACCACTACTACCACTACTACCACTACTACCACTACTCCTACTACTACTCCTGCTCTGAGGGTGAAGGGTGCGTAACCGCTACCACCACAAGGTTCACAGCACCCCGAACCCCGAACCCCTGAACCCCAAGGCTTAGATCCCGAACCCGAAACCCAAAAGCCCGAAGCCCCAATTAAGTCCCTAAACCTTAGAAGCCTCAACTCCTACGCCCCCAAAGAAATCTCAACCTGAAGCCGCTACTTTCCGCAGGCCCAAAAGATTCCAAAAAAAGGTGAAGAGTGTCCACCAAAACACCTAAACTCTTATGGGAGCTTCCGAAAATAGAGGACCCTAATATCATATCCTAAATAGTCGGATTCTCATTATAAGGACCCCCAAATAAGGTACCCCTAATTTTTTGGAAACTCCTTTGTAGCAACTCTCATAGTGACCCTTTGAGTGCTCGAGGTGAAAAGTGTGACCTCCAAGCTGGTGTCGCTGATTTCCGGCCTGGGCCAAGCGGCGGTGAAGTCGCTGGAGCCTGGAGAGCTCCAGGAGGGCGCCTTTGAGCAGGGGCTTATACGACAAGTATAATAACGAGCCCCCCAAAAATAGTATAGGTATCAAGGGGCGCTTCTACTATAATTATAATAAGGAGCCCCCGAAAAGGTATTGAGGGGCTTATCCTATAACTATAAAAAGGAACCCCCAAAATAGTTTTGCTATCAAGGCCCCTATATGAGTTTAGGGTTCAGGGGTTCAGGGCCTGGTCTAGGGTTCAGCCAAACCCTCCCAGCTTAAACCTAAACCCTACTTGGACAAAATCCTGCATTACCCATTATAAGGAATATACCATAGTTCCCATAGTTTAGAGTCCTTAGGGTCATGCAAGATTTTGTCCATCAGCAGTACCTCCGTCCCCCCGAGACAGGAGTTGAACTCCGTGGACGAAACGACCGGGGAGGGCGTAAAGCTCGCCGTCACCAAGGAGTCTGCCAGCGAGGCGAGTTGGGCGTAGTGACGGTTTTTTCAGATTTTCATTTCAGGGTGCTGACGCGCCTCAAAACTAGGTCTCGTAGGTTTCGATGGGACGCAACGAAAGCACCTAAACTCCGACCAGGGGGTAGGTCTAGGTTTGTTTCTGCTTTGGTGGCTTCTGGGGTTTCTGGTGTTTCGGCCTCACTCCAAGGGTCCATGTACCCACACAGTACATACTTTGGCCCTCATACCTAAATAATAAATACAGGGACTACTTTCAGGCAAAGGTCTGTGCTAAGTATTTGGGCACTCGGACCCTTGGAGTTATCTAGATCGGGATTTGCTCCTTCTGATTTGTGGGATTGTTGAGGAGCTTTTGCAGCAGGACTACGGCTTTGAGTGCATACTTTATATTTCTCTTGTGTCATCTGAGCAAGCTGATAAAAGAGTAGATGAAGCCTTCCTACAGGCGAGCCCATAAACGGCTCCGACCCTCGTCAGTGTCGCAGCTACACGTATACTCTAGCCCTTTGCTTTTATTTGGATCCTTTCTATTACTGGGTTGTCTTGAGAAGTGGCTACAGAGTGCAGCTTGGTTCTCATACTTCCGAAGCTGCACGCAGGGCGGGCGCTTCGGGATGGATGTATGCTGGCAGATCGAGGGTGCGGGTTTGAGCGCGAAGCCCTGCGACTCTATAACCCAAAGGCTCCATGTACCCATATAGTAGCTACTTAGGCCTTAAAGTATCCATATAGGGACCCCTTTCAGGCCTAAGTACCTACTATATGGGTACCTGGTGCCTTAGGGTAATATTCTGAGTTCTGAGCCCCGCACCCTAAACACCAAAACCAGACCCACCTTTCTAGCTGTTCAGGCTCAACACGCCTGGTGTAAGGGCTGAATAGTTGAGCGTACTATTCCTGAGGATTCTTTACTGCAGTCATACCCACAATCCCGGATTCTACTTCTCAAGGCCCCTATGATGGGCTTGATTGAGCCAGGCAGTCTCCAATGGGGTGCAGCTGAGCCATGGCCAGCAAGCTCAATGGTCCAAGGCTCAAAACGCTATGAGTGGTAATGAGCACCACCACCGTTGGAACGAAGATGAAGAGTAGCCGCAACAACCGTTGTTGTGATGAGGACAACAAGACGAACAATAAGAATCCGCACTAGAGTTTTCAAGTTCACAAGATGCTACGGGCAGAAGCTTCAAACAGTAGCAGGTAGCAGGCAGTAATTCAGCTCAATAGAATCAGTATTCGCATGGATAGCAGCAGCAGGCCTACTTCGGGGGTCGTAAGTCGTAAAGGTGGGGTAGTGGTGGCACTAACCCCACTGTCTAACTGTTCCCCACCAGCTATGCGCGAGAGCTTGGAGAGGCTGCAGGGTTCAAGGTTTAGGATGTCTGCAGACAGCCGCAGCAGCCGGTGTACTCTTGACTCTTGAATCCAATCCTTCAAACGCACGTTCATGAACCTCACACCTGGGACCTAAGCCGAAATCCTTGAAGCTAAACCCGAACCGGAGCTGCTGAGCCGAAAAGCCGTTTGCCGCAGTACCCTAAAACACTAAACACCAACTCTAAATATAGGGGCCTTCATACCTATACCATTTTGGGGGCTCCTTATTTAGTTATAGAAAAATGCATTATGATTATTGAGGCCCCTATATGTTACCGGACAACTGCTTGCTCTCGGCTTCCGCACGGAGCAGATGGAAAAGGGCCTTCAACAACACCCTAAACCCCAAACCCTAAAGCCTAAATTGTAGAAGCTGCGACCTTTTGTTGAATCACAGAATCAGCCCTGACAGGAACCTCTTAAGACCCTTCCCAAGGAAGCTGCTATCAATTCCAGCTTCCGCGTTCGCTGGCCGACGACTGGAAACCTCGTGCGACAGCATGGAGCTGCAAAGCACCGAGTGGCTGCACCTAGGCTAAGCAACAAGTGTGACTATTGACTGTAGTGATCTGAATAAATGCAGTCTTTACATTCCTTATGGTCAGGATACCGCTTACTTTTTTGTTTGTCTATCTTTGTCTCCTAGTGTACGAAACTCGCACTCCCATCCCGTCACATATGCTGCAAGCGTCTGGTATACAGTAAATTTTAAGAAACTGTCGCACATGTTGATATGATTTGCATGTTTCTTTTGAATTTTGTCAGCTCTTGATTTCTCCACTCCTCGCCATCAATCATCAGATAGTCACAGCAACGAGAGCTGAACATGGAGATTTAGCAGCAAGACCAGCGATCAGTCCCTAACCCCCAAACCCAAAGGCCAGTTGCAGGAGCCCCTGGTACTGCAGCCATTGATACAACCGGTATCAAAGGCGTCAAGGTCTGTTCATGCTAGCAGTGGTGTTCACAACAGCGAGCGCCTGTAGACTTAGCAGCTATGTAGATGTAGGGCTCGGAGGTCTAGTGGCAGCAGCAACAACACTCTCTTGAGATGAGAGCGTTCCATTGATTGGTGGCGTGGCAAAAACCAACTGCCACCCCAAAAACGCACAGAGAATGATAATATCCACTGCCTTCGTGGTTGTCATTGGTATCGTCATCATTATCGTTATATCACCATCATCATCATCATCATCATCATCGGTACTCGAGATTTGCACCAAGAGCACTGGCAACCGAAGATGCAGCAGCAATAGCAGCAACAAGACTCTAGGATGCAATGAAGCCTGAATGAGCAAGAACACCCTTGTACTCCAAACCCTTCCCAGCCCATACCCCAATTATCCAAGGCACCCAGACACCAGGACTATCCTTCACGCCCTTCCCACCAAGTTGAAACCGCTGGCTCCTGATGATTCAATCTGCCTGGCTAAAGCCGGAATTCCGAGACCCATGGTTTCCAGCTCAGGAAGAGCAACCCGCACAGCTACGCGCGAAGCGTTGCCGGGGCCAGTGGCACAGTGCCCGAGGATGCTGTACCTCGGCATGTTTTAGAAGGATTACTACAAGGGTACTATGATATAGGGGCCTTTTATGAGGATTACTATAAGGGTACTATGATATATGGGCCCTCAATATATAATTGGTGGGGCTCTGGGTGTTAGGGGCGCAGCCCGGAAGGCGTTTTCGGATCTGTTCGCAGACCGGGAAGGCTTTGCGAAGTGCTATGCAACGGTCCGCAACTTTTTGAGGGCGTTGGGCTTGAAGGCTCAATCTGAAGCGTTGTCATGAAGTCAGACGATGCAGTATCGAGGCTGAGTGGTTTCAGGCTTACGGCTTAGTTTAGGGTTCAGTTTAGGGTTTAGGGTTTAGGGGTTTAGGGTTTAGGGTTTAGGGTTTAGGGTGTCTGTGACAGCTTAATTGGATGCTTACTTGCTCCTACTTTCCGGGTTCGCGAGTCTTGGATTTCTACAATCAGACCCAGATGCCTCGAGCTTTACTCAATGTCCCTCAGCGTTTCCGCATAGTCCGTGAGCCACAACATCCCGAAATCCCCAGCCCCCATAGAAGAAAGAGCAAGCATCAAACCTTCATGAAGCCCTTGGCAGTGTGCCCCTAACCCCTGAACCCCTAAACCCCCGAAACCCCCAAAACCCCAGGACGTCCTCAACGTGGAGCTTCGGTACTGCGGCAAAACGGCGCCTTCGCCGCACAGCGCACCACATCCTTAAGCCCTTTTTGTTCAGCCAATGGCCTGCGAAGGAAGCGAAAGACCGATGTGGGTATTGAATTATTATTATTATTGTCATTATTTGTACTGTTACTGTTTTACTTAGTAATTATTTGTATTCGTAGTAGTATTCGTGTATATGTATCCCCCGGACCCGAGCCTGTGTCTAGGTTCTGTCTGTGAGCTAGTGCCTGCATCGAGAATGTTCGGTTCCAGGTTACACTATGGGGAAATCATGAAGGACAGGCAGCGACAGTGAGATTGTTTTTAGTCCTAGTGCGGCAATTCCTGTTCGCATGTGTGGCATGTCTGCTGTTTGGAGGATAATCGGTATTGCTGCTACGATTGCTGTCTTGTTATTTGTCGTGTTGTTATTCCTGTCGTTATTTGGGTCCTTAAGACCTACACCCTACTGCATAATATCAACTGTGATCGTAAACTGTAGCTGTAGCACTCTAAACCCGAGTAGCCCAAACGTTAGTATTGAAACCGTAAACCGTAGTAGTGTTACTCCACAGAAGCCTAGAGCCTAGAGTATTCTGACTCCGAAGCACCGAAGCTAACCCTAAACCCTAAACCCCTAAACCCTAAACCCCTAAACCCCTAAACCCTAAACCCTAAACCCCTAAACCCTAAACCCCTAACCCCTAAACCCCTAAACCCTAAAGACCAGGTCTTGAGCGAGCCTGCCACAGCCAGGAGCTCAAACAGATATGGGAGTTTCCAAAAATTAGGGGTAAATTTCAATGGATCCTGTTTGGGCTCCGGGATCTATAAGGGTTCTAGAAAGGGTTTAGGGTTTAGGATTTAGGAGTTTCCAAAATTAGGGGTAGTGCCTTATCTTGGGGTCCTTATAATAAGGATCCTACTCAATAGGGTACTATATTAGGGTCCCCTATGTTCGGAAACTCCCATATTCCTGGCGGTTTAGGGTTCAGCGTTTAGGGTTGCCGTGGGCCTGAAGGTTTAGACTCGTTGGGCATCTTACGAGTACGGGGTCCTTGTCCAGACAAGGGCCCTTTTTGGTAGGGATCGTATTCCGAAGATGGTACCCTAAATAGTAGGATCCTTATTATAAGGACCCCCAAAATAAGGTACCCCTATTTTCGGAAACTCCCACTCAAGCTTCTGCACGCAGCAGGGTCGCTTTGCAAACTTGTCCAGGGTCCAAAGATCATGAGGGCTCTGGTTTCCAGACTTGCTGGTTTGCTTTCGGCGTCAGAGAGGTAAGGCTTCAGGGTTCGGGAATAGTTTCGAAATTGACACCTTCCACAAAAGGCTATACCCTAAACCCTAAACCCTAAACCGTTATAACCCTCATAAAAGTGCCAAACCTTAAACTCCGCGTCCGGCCAAAGAGCTTCCCCCCCGGCAAGACGAGCCAGGAGGCCCTTGCGCAGTTCAACGTGTAAGTTCCAAAACTTACAGTAGAAGCCAGAAAGTTGGAATATCATTATCATAACCCCTTTAAGGTAAATTATAGGGGATCCTACCATTAATCCATATTCCAACTTTCTGGAGTTCCCTGTAAGCTGTAAACCCAAAGCCTTACTGAAACCAACAAATGGGTGGTTGTCAAAATTATGGCCCCTTTTTGCGGCCCTGTTTGGGTCCCTATTATGATACGGCACCTATTATTTAGGGTACCCCAAAAGGGACCCTAATTTTGACAACCACCCAAATGCACTTAAAAGCCGTAAACCTGGAAGATTCGCGACGCGAAGAGCGAAGACACCTGCACCTTAGGTACGGCCCCCACTCAGTAATAGTTGAATATATAATATTCATAATATAGAAGGACCTTAATAGTAGCCCTATTATAGACTCTTACTCTATGGGGGCCGTACCTAACCTGCACCTCAAAGCCCCAGGTGCGGCTCGCGATTCCCAGCTTTCCGGCTGCTCCCGAAGGTTTCGAAATGGGGATTTTCATGGATTTCTTCAGGTTTAGAAACTGCAGAAACCTGAATATTCTGAATATTCTGAATATTTGGCAACAGTTACCCTTCCTTCGGGCTTCTAGTGCAAATGACTGTACAAACCACCCCGAAACCTATACTCATTGTTAAGTCCCCCAAGCTCCCTCAGTCTCAGGGCGCCCCTGTTGAGGGGTCTTTGTAGCACGGAGCCTATTGGGGCCTTTATACCAGCGCCTCTTACTCACTCAAAGTCCTCTAGGATCCAGAGTAGGCCCTTATTCCCTTTTTTAGGGTTTAGGTTCCCTTATAACCCCCTTTAAACCAAAAAGGGCACCCTTTTTATTCCTAGGTTACTCTTAGGTCTAGTCCTAATCTTGGCTGAATGTGCCGCACTCGTGCAATTACCCTAGGAATTGAGCCCTAAGCCCTGAATGCTACATCAGCAAGCACCTCAGCTCTAGGGGGCGTTCGAAGTTTTAGGGTGTCTTGGCCTGAGACTTGGAGTTCGAGATCTTGGAGATTTCTAGTGAGGACACTGATCTTCCCCGCTCCGACGTTGTCTAACGCAGAAGTCTAGAGCTAGATCGCCTCAGTTTCCATGTCGTGCCACAAAGTTTGCTGGGAGGTGAGTCCAGGATGATATATGGAGCTGAACGCTGTGAACGCTGCTAAACGAAGCCCCTTCCTTTCCTCGCAAAGCTTGTATCTCTGCTTGCCGCTGCCATGGACGGAGAGCGATCGGAGGAATGTGTCGGAGACGGTGCACCAGCGGAGAGGGCCGACGTGCTCGGCCAATGCTGCAGGCACCATGGCTCGTCATGCATACCGTCGAAAGGTTGGCAGCAGCGTTCCCGAACACGGAGCTGGTGGAGGAGCTTGCAGAAGAGTTTCAAGTGTGCGAAACTTGGAAGCTTCATGCTTCCTCCTCTCTTCCGGCGACATCTGCTCCCACGCTGGCCTTTCCTTCTCGTCAGCATGGTCTTTGTGAAGACCAAGTCTTGGAACCGGCGGAAGAGGTCCTTGCTCGTGCAAGTGTAACCCTTGTTTCCGAAACGCTCGCCCCAGGAGTTCTTCACCTTGTAGTAGGCACCCCTGTCCTGGACGATGACAACCGCGTACCCACGACTTAACTTAGTGGGGCAGAATCCTTGTGCTAAAGGAGCCTAAACAATTACCTATACTATTTTAGGGGTTCCTGATTACGATTATAGTATTATGGGCCCCAAATCCTTATTCTAATTATTAAGTCCCCTATAGTAGTCGAAGACTTGTGGGGATGGCACCTTGCATTCTCGCTGAACTTCTTCCAAGCTTGTTTGAAAAGCTCAAAGCTCGCAGAGTCCGTCCCCGAAAGCATACGAAAACCCTATGGCTGGAGGCTCACGATGCCTACTGGAAGTGTTCCAAGCTCCAAATTTAGTAGTATAGTACCCGAAGTCTCCGAAACCTAAACCCTGAAACCAACCCCCCTCCCCCCAAAACAAGGAGCCTTAAAGCCCCAAAGCCTTGAACCACTCAACCCTGAACCCCCTCTTCCCCCTCCCTCCCACCCATTCCCTCGACACTCCTACCATTGATGATATAAATCCTGCATTACCTTAGAGACCCTAAGCAATGGGAGTTATGGTATATTTCTTACTATGGGTAATGCAGGATTTATATCATCAACCGTCTCACTCCTGGCAGGTTTGGCCAACAAGCCGACCTGTGCACGCTATGACAAGGAGCAAGCCACCTGGACGGTCGAGAATGCCGGGATCCCAGCATGGGCGTCATGGGTTTAGGATTTTTAGTCGTCTGAGGCTTCAGTTTGAGGTTTGGGGGTTAGGTCTCAGTTAAGGTTTAGGGCTTTCAGCATTTGAAGCTTGACTTTAGGCTTCAAGGTTTTGCGGCTCCGGGGCCCTAGGAGGGGTTCAGAGGTGCAGGGCATGAGGGTTTAGGGCTTGGGTTTTGGGTGTTAGCATTTGCGGCGCCTAGTTAAGAGTTACCCGACATGTAGAAGACGTGCCACTATGTGGGTAGTTGTCGAAATTCAGGTCTCTTTTTGGGTACCCTAAATAATAGGTGCCGTAGTATTATAGGGACCCCAAAAAGGGACCATAATTTTGACAACCACCCATGTTCAGGTGCAGACAGCTCCAGCAGATGGAGGACTGGAGATGCTCTGTGTTTGGGTTTCGGTCCGTAATATGGGATGGGGGCTTTGCTCTTGGGGGTTCGAAAACTAGCAGCTCTACATGGTCTGCAAAAAAGGCTTTCAGTCTTTCCGCGGCTTTTTCACGCGGAAAGCCTCCCTTGAGCCTTCAGCGAGAGCGCAGGCATGGTAAGGTGCTCATCAACATACACCTCAGTTTCTTACGTCGCGTTCGCTGATCATGTGCCGGCCTCAGATGTTCTGCCGATGTAGACGGAGGAGTGCAAGATTCATGGTGTGAGTTGAACTAGGGCTCAGAGTGTGTTGAAATCTCTTCTGCAGGGTGCCCGTACGCCACGTGCGAGGTGCAAGATACCACATTGACGGTGACGATGGTCACCCGCACAATGTCAGCATCTCAGATTCGGCTCCCGATACGTCTGCGAGCAAGATGTTTCGACGCTAAATCCTCCACCTTGAGCACTACCCAAGGGCCCCACAGTAGTTCCTTTTGGGGGTTCGTATATAGAATCCTATAAGGTAATCCCAAAAAGGAACTACTATGGGGCCTCTGGGTAAAGGCCTGTTCTGGGGGTTCCTTATTATACTAATGGTATTATGGACCGCAAAACCCTATTCTAATTATTAAGGCCCCCGTATTGCATCATATAAGTGGTTATAAGTTATAAGTATAGGTACCTTATTTATAACCCCAGTTACTAAGTCCCATGATCCTTTAAGTAATTGCATCAGGACCACGACGTCGATGTCCGGTGTGATCGACGAGACTTCTTTGACGAGCCTGGGCTGAAAAGTTTGCGAAGACTCAGCGAGGGGGTTTAGGGTTTAGGGTTGAGTTCTAGAGCAGACATGGTTCATGTTGGAGTCAAAGTAGTTAGTTACCAATACTATTCTGGAGCTTTCTTGTTAGATTTATAGTATGATATACCCCCAAACCCTATTTCAATCACTAAACCTCCTTTTAGTATAATATACCTCCAAACCCTATTTCCGTCATTAAACCCCCGTATAGTATAATATACCCCCGAAACCCTGGTTTCAATCAGTTACCACCCGTTATATTAGGCTTTAGGCGTGAGGATCCGGGGTGGCATGGCATCATCGCAGAGGTTGAGGGCTTTGGGGATGACACATACATAGGTAGTCGTCAATATTAGGGTCCCTTTTTGGGTACCCGAAATAATAGGTGCTGTAGTATAACAGGGACCCAGAAAGGGACCGAATATTGAGAACCACCCACCCACATGTTGGGCTGTGGTGGCGAAGGTGATTGAATCGTTGACTCAAGACGCAGAGGCCAGCATGCTACGGTGCATGTTCTTGCTCGCAGTTCACTCTATGATCGCGGGTTGTGACGACATCAAAGCAACGATGATGATGATGCGCATGACGCACACTTAACCAATCCATGGCCCAACCTTGGAACATCTTAAAATTGTCGAAGGGCATGTCGCCAATGATTTCAAACACATGCACAATTGGAAGCAGTATATACTCGTCGTAGGCCTCTTCCCCTGCCTCCGCCTCCTCCTCGCCTCCTCCCCCGCCTCCTCCTCGTCCTGATCTCAATCGTCATCATCACAATCATGAGTAATTATTCCCTTCGTCATGTTCAGCACCATCAGCATAAGCTTCATCGTCATCATCATCATATTCTTCTTCTGCATCATCATCGTCCTCGTGTGCCTCTTCATACTCGCACTCACTCATACCCATCACCTCGATCTTGCTCGTCTTCATCATCCGTATCCTCGTCCTCGTCGTCGTCCTGTGTCATCGCTGTCATCGGCGGCAGCAGAAGCAAGAGCAGATGCAAGTTTGTGCACTGCGCCACCCGTGTACGAGGGGCCGTGGGCGTTTCACTTCATAGCTAAAGCAGAATCCATTTTGTTCATGTCTAACCTATTGAGTTCTCTGCTGTTCTACTCGATTCTGTATGTCTGTGCTACTCTGTTCTAGAATTGTATTCTAGTCTAGTCTCTTCCATTTCTGTCTGGTCATTCTAGTCTGTTCCGTGTATATTTCCTGTTCTACTACAACGCGTGTTCCATAAGTTTAGAATATATCAGCGACATCGGAAGTATTTTGTATAGAAAGAAGTACACTATATACGTGTACACATGTGTGAGTATATATGTATATACACACAAACATCTTCCCGACTGAGCGGCCACCGAGGTTAAGCCCATCGAGTGCGGCCCTGCGTGCCGCTGCTAGGAGACAATTAGAAGCTTGTGTGTCTGGAAGAGGGGACAGCAGGCACTTCCCTCCCCTGATATACCTTTGATTGCGCTGATCATAAGCTGAAGCTCTCAGAGTTGGGGCTTGAAACAGACATTCCGGAACCGTAGGCAAGCCGAAGACAGTGACAAAGCTTGCTCTTCAAGCAAGCGAAACTTCCTTCAAGGTGCTTCAAGAATTTGAACTGTGAATCTGTTGTCCTGGCAACAGCCAGCTCGATTGAAAGAAAGGGTTCTAGCTGGATGTGCTCAGTCTCGAAGATAGGACGCGATAAGACCGGGAAGATTTTCTTGGGTACCACGGCTTGGGAACTGGGAAAGAATGAGAGACTAGGCAACAATTTCATGAAGTACATTGAGGCATCGACATAAAACAAGCGCTACAAGTGTGTGCATACAGAATATTTGAACGTGTGTGTGTGTGTGTGTGCGTTTGTGTGTGTGGTCATAACAGTCAGGTACGCAGCACTGCATGTCATGCAGTGTGTTGTGCGTCTTTGCCTAGGTTTTCGGCTTTGTGCTGAGCTTTGCCATGCAGCACATGTGGCTCTGATGCGAATAATGCCTGAGGCATGTGCATGCAGTCCTAGTTGCATCGACTGTAGATCTCTTGTTTTCCCTGCTACATGAAGGCAGGAGTCACGCAACTACCAAACGCCCGACTAATCCAATCATTCCGCTCTCCGTGTGGCATTAGCAACTGCCGTGAGCAGATCCGTCAGTGGTGCTTTTCCCGTGCTCCACATTCAAGCCTTTGAGCGGTTTGACGAGCTGCATCTGCCTTGAACGCTTCTAATGTCCCGTAAAAGCTGCATTGCTCGGCAAACCTGACTCTTGCTGCTTCCTCTTGCAATTCAGAGCTGCGGATGGGCGACCTGCGAGAACCTGCCAATTTGCAGCAAGAGCTCAGTACTCCTCACTAGACCAGTCATCCCAGGAATGGGAACTGTGGGTTTAGTAGTGGAGTAATATGGAGGAGAGGAGGCTGCAAGGTTTTTTGCTCCCTAGTACTTTGAGCTCTTGTGTCAAGCAGGGGTTCCCATCGCAGGCTGGGGGGCCTAGCCGGAGGCTGGCTCGTTCATCAGGACTTAACGGAGTTAACGGAGAAGTTGGCCCCACATCAAGGTGCACTGGGCCAGCGGTACGCTGTTACGCCGCACGTTTGATACTAACAGATCTATAGTGGTAGATGTATACGGTTAGACAGTTCGCATCACATTCCGGCATTTAATGCTGGTGTCACTGTTGTCATCATGTGCGTCGCAACATCTGCACTACAACTTATAGGAGCCCACTGCCGTAGGAGCTCGGGCCAAAGGGCACCTGCTCAAAGCAGGTTCCTTTAAGAGGGGCCGGACACATGTGGCCGAACTGGAGAATTTTGCCACCAACAAGATCCGCGTTTATGCAAGGAGCCGCAATGGTATCGGTACGTGATCATGAAGCCGTCTTTGCTCTGCCTACCTGTAATTGCCAGTTCTGGTCAGGTTGCGCTGTTGGGGTTGCTCTTTTGCCGGCTCTGTCTCTCCCGCTCTCGCACTCGCTCCCTGATGTTTAGCTTGAGCAAATGACCATATGATGTAGGTGATTAGTCTGGTGCCAGTCGTCCCCGGAGTTTCGTCATGAATGCCTTGGCACTTTTGCATTGTTGCATGCTCACGTTTGCTGTCACTTGCACGATTATTTCCGTACACTGCAGAACCATATGGCCGGAAAGCAATACAGCCCCTTGCGAATAGCCTTCTTCAGTTCTGTGACAGGTTGTCTTCGCCGACCTCGCATGACACACCCACTTAACTTCATTTCCCAATTCTTAGAACTCCTTCAACTCGATAATGTGGGAACCTGATTAAGAAACCCTGGGCCTATAACCCCAAAATAGTAGGGTTCAAAGAAGGAACCCCAAGAAAGGCCCAAGGTTTCTTAATCACGTTCCTACATTAGTTCTCAGCAAGGGCGCCTTCTTTCTCTGGCCCAGGTTTGCAGCAGCGCGTTTGGCGTGCTGTGTGGGATTGTGTGCACGCATGCGGGCTCAAGGAAACACCACTAGCACACTGCCGCTTCCCAACGGCTGTAACGCAAGATGGGCGCCTCGCTTGCAAATCAAAGCCACTCCCAGGGCTTCCCACACAGATCCCAAGCTTCAAAAGGCTAGCAATGCTCATCCGAGGTTCCAACGGCAAGAGACGGGTTCAGAATATCGTCAGCGTTCAAATGCCTACTTGTGGATCTCAGCCACGTGGACATTCTTCCGATATGATTGCTGTCTACAGCCGTTGTCCCACTTGCATACCTGTTGCATACCTGGACAGATCTTTCATTAATGTGCCTTACAGATAATATGAGGTTACTTCAGTTACCCTTGTAATCTTACAACATTCTACTCTAGTATCACAAACCCCAGAACCTTGCACCCTTAACCCTAAGACCTTAGATTCTTAAATTCTGGACTTTGCATGCCCTGAAACATTTGATTGTCTGGTTCTTATTGAGACTACTACTGGAGATTATATATAAGGACTACTATAGGGATCCATTCCCCCATCCCAGAGACTCCAATATCCCTTAATTAAGGAATATCCCTTAAATTATAGTAGGATCCTTAGTATGATTTGAGGTATATTCCCTAATCAAGGAATATTGGAGTCTGTGGGATTCCTTAAACCCTAAACCCTAAACCCCCTACTATGCCCTGAAACCTTTGACGCATCTGGAAGTCCAGCCCCAGGCCGATTCATCAAAGCGGGACGCGTCGTCGTCATGCTCCAGGCATCCAGCCCACTTCAGCAGCCGCAGCGCAGTACATGTGTGTATATATATATATATATATATATATATATATATATATATACGTATGTGTATGTATATATATATATATATAGTATCGTATCGCATTGCATTGCATCGGTATGTATGCATGTATGTACGTATGCGTGTGTGTGTAATTATAAGTATGTGTGCACGTGTACGTATGTATGTATGTACGATGAATTACACAAACTATGAACTTGAACCTGAGCATGAACAAATTGACAACCCAACACAAGGTGTACATGTCTGCATATATGAACAAATACAGGAGAAGTAAATAAACATATGTATATACAGCGAAAGAACAAGAGAGAAAGAGACATTCGCATATACGCACACACATATTCAATGTGTATGTAAACTGCTGTTTTGGTACACATCCATCATGCTCAGTTTTGATCTGCGTCTATCTCGTTCCGTCTGCTCCAGATCTCTTACCTTGCATCTACCAGTCACCTTTCAGAAAACCGAGGCTTCAACTGTCTCAGTATACCAACCATGTAAGGTCTTAGGGCCTCGGAAGCAGGTATCCAAACTGTTGTGCAGCTTAGGGACATTGTTACGATTCAGGGTTTAGGATCACGTCCGCCGAACTTGTCGTTGTGAGCCTCGAGCACGTTTGGCGATATTGGCAGGGCCGGTATGCTGGCAAGAAGGCCCGCGGCGGTGCAGAAGGTCTTTCCATTTTGCAGGGTGCCGTGTTGGATACATGTTCAGCACAGCTACCACGCAGAAATTCTGTATGTGCTGAAACCAAAGCATTGGCGAGTATTCACCTGTGGGCAAAAGTGCGCGGCCAACCCACAGCAGCACCATGTGCAAGCCTGATACGATGCTCAGGGCATTTCCGTTGCGGGGTCTCGCGTGTGTGGCCAGATCATTTAATGCCACAGCATTCTGCAATGCCCTTAGCATTCAGCATTCTGGCGGACAGGTTCTTACAATCAGTCTAAGCTTCAAACTCCCCCTCCCCTTCCCCCTCCCCTCCCGATGCTCCACTGTCAGGCCATCGTCGTGAAGACCTTCGATGACGGGTCCAAGGCCCGATCCTTCGGCCACGCCTTGGTAGCGGGCATCGATCGCGCGCCGCTGAAAGTGACCAGGCCGGTCTGGGGGTTTACCCTAAGGCCCCAAAGTAGTTCCTTTTTGGGGGTTCGTATATAGAATCCTATAAGGTAATCCCCAAAAAGGAACTACTATGGGGCCTCTGGGTAGGGTGTGCAAACATGCGGGGTGATCAGGCACGCTTTTCGGCTGGATTGAATAGTGTTCTCGAGACATGCATATGTGTGCACGTGAATCTTTAGTTGCGGGTTAGTGTACAGGCTTATCTGCTTGTTTGCATCGTATTCTTGTACTTCTGCATTTCGATTCGTGCATCGAACCATACATGTGTATTCCTGTTCTTAATCGTTTTTTGTTTCTGCCATGTGTGGTTGTGTTCACATTTGCATTGGTAGTGGTAGTTGTAGCTAAATTTGTGTTTAAGTCTGTCTTCATATTCATATTCACAATGGCAACTTCCCAGAGTTTAGAGGGTTTAGGGTTCAATGGTTCAGGGCTTAGGGCTCAGGATATCTTGCGCTTTTTCTCTTGTGAGGCCAAGGGAAAGGCAGCTCCCTTGAATGTCTCATCCCCTGAATCGTTAAGCCGAAGCCTCAGCCCTCGATTTCCGTCCGTTTTTCTGTGTTGTATATCATTTATTGCTTGTTCCTTTCCGTTCCCATTGTTGTGGTTTTCCTTGATATATTCATGATTCATGGTTCCTTGCAGGAAGATGTCCAAGAAGAAGATCACCAAGCGCACTAAGGTCAAGCTCGAGGCTGAGGTCTTGTCGATAGGCAGCGCTGCTCATGGGCCTACTCGTTGCCACGTGCAGCTGCATGCTGTCCTTGGGTTCCTGATGAGATGGAAATTCGCACGGGATCTGAGCAGCTACAGCTTGTTTCTGATTAAGGCCCTTCGTGAAGTACGTCAACTACAACCACATCATGCCGACACGCTACAACGCGCGGCACTCTGCATGCTCAGACTCCCGCGGGGGAGGGCGAATCCGGACACTTTAGTCTGAGGCAAAGCTTCCCACACCCTGACTTCTAGATGATAGTTCGCTACGGAAGCGAATCCCACTACCCGCAGCATGTTAGAGAATGCTGCCGGCAATGCAACCCAGCCTGCTTGATACCAGGACCTCTGGTGCTCATCATTATCAAATTATGATATTGTCATCAGTTAACACCGTTGCAGGCTGCAGCTCGTCCTCCTCCGCTGCTGCTGCTGCTGCTGCTACACTCTACTTCTTTCTGCTACTACTACCACTACGAGAACCATGTGTGCGACTGACAGCGCATTCATCAAACGACGCAGCACGATGAGGACCAACAATGTTGACTACTCGTGACTACCCCCTGTCCATGAACCTTAATAGTATAGGTCAGTAAGGCCTCTACAATACCCTATGGCCCTATAGATCCCTTAAAGGAACCCTAATTAGTACCCTTTAAAGGAACCCTGCGGTCTAGGGCTCTGTTGGCCGAGGTGCCGGCGGAGCTCTCTCCTTCCACTATCTGCACCGACCAGCAGATGGACACTTTGGATGGACGCAAGGAAGCCAGGAAGTTTGCCAAGAGCACCTCGGCTTCCGGAGGAGCTAGACTTGAAAAAATGTATGCACATGTAACACTTTGTATGGAACATCATACGAATATCTGCGTATGTGTGTATATACATATATATATATATATATAGTCACCCCCCCCCCATGACATACCATCCCCTTTAAAACATCGCTCCCACCGGCGTGTTCGTGCTTTTTCCGGAGTATCGAGTTTGAGCCCTCCGAACGTATCCCTGGAACCACCAAAAGACTGAGACCAGAAAGCAGCACGATAAGGCGCGCGGGTGTCCTACCAAGAAAGGAATTACAGAGCACACGTGTATGGATGAGGGTTGTGCTGACACACTACATAGTAAGCACTACACAGTAATCTTACTTGAGTCATATATAGAGCAGATTCCAGCATTTCCAAAATTTCCAAAATTTCCAAAATTCTCTCCCCTAACTTTCCAGATTTCCAAAATTTCCAAAATTTCCAAAATGTCCAAAATTTCTAAAATTTCCAAAATTTCCAAAATTCTCTCCCCTAACTTTCCAGATTTCCAAAATTTCCAAACTTTCCAAAATTTCCAAAAAGTCCGCCCTTATGTTTTGGAAGAATCCTGTCGACTAGGTCGGGAAATTTTGGAAATTTTGGAAATTTTAGAAATTTTGGAAATTTTGGAAATTTTGGAAATCTGGAAAGTTAGGGGAGACAATTTTGGAAATTTTGGAAATTTTGGAAAGTTTGGAAAGTTTGGAAATTTTGGAAATCCGGAAAGTTAGGGGAGAGAGTTTTGGAAATTTTGGAAATTTTGGAAATGCTGGAATCTGCTCTATATATGACTCAAGTAAGATTACTGTGTAGTGCTTTTAACACTAACGTTGACATGTATATTAATGCTTTCATTTCGAATATGCACATTACTAATTCTATTATTAACATTAATACTCCTACGCCTACCAATAGTCATATTCATATTGATATTAATGCCAATACTAACAGACACCTGCGTATATTAATGTCCGCAGATATACATACCACTATCTGAAAAGCAAATATATCAATGCATTCGTGTACTAACGTAGTATATTCGTATTTAACTTGTCATATACCCAGTTTCCAACGTGACAATATACTACTTGTTAACGTCTGATTATACTGTATTGATATGCTAACTTGCTAAGACACGAATACTGTAATATGCAAGTACACTGACACATGGCAATGGTATACTAACATATGGATATACCACAAAAGTTGTTAGATAATATACGAATATGATAAATGAAGTAGCATACCAGGATACTCATACACTAATATGTTAATAATCGAAGATAATAGCACACCAATATACTAATGTACTCATGCACGAACGTACGCATGCATTAATATACTAAGAGCATACAAACATGCAGGTATACAAACATATTACTGTTCGAATACATTATAATGTGTTGGTATACTAAGCTGTTTATGTAATCTACCAGTATACTAATATATCAAAACTAATTATAGTATTGATACGCATACGAGCACGTCCGCGAATATTACACTGATGTTTAATTCATCATTAAGACTGATTAAAACTGACATCGACATTGGCACTGGCATTAACACTAATTATCACTAAATATGCTAGTGTACTAATATACGAATACTGTAAAAGGCAAGTACACTGACATGTTCACATGCCATTATGCCAACATATTGATATACCTATAAGCTATTAGGGAAAATACGAATAGTAATAGACCACTATAATAATATACTAATATACTACTACGTTAACATACGAATATCATGATACACCAATATACTAATGTACTCATGCACCAACGTACTAATATATTCGCGCAATCTTCAACTCTGCAAATATACTATTGTTCGAATACACTACTGTATTATTATATTGGGCTCAAAATGTACGAATCAATCAGTATATTCACATATCAAAACTATTTCTATTACTGATACTAATACCAGCACTTCTGTGAATAATAAACAGATACTAAAACCAGCATTCAGACTGATACTAATACTAACGCGAGTACTATTACTGACATTGACATCGACACTGGCACTAACACCAGCACGAACATAATCACGAGTTCATATTTACTATTATTGATATGTATACTTTTATTCAATACTAATACTAATACTGATGCTAATACTAATACTAAATACCGATACCAATACCAGTACTAAAGCAATACCCATCCTAATATCAATACTACCACAAAACTATTACTCATATGAACACTGATACCAGGATTAGGACTACTACAAACAATGACAGCAGTACTAAGAATAGAACCAAGAACAATACATATTAATCCTAACACTAATACTAGTACTAATACTAGCTACTAATTACTAATACTGATACTCATACTAGTCACTAATACTAATACTAATACTCATTCTAATACTAATACAAATACCAATACTAATGCTACCACTACTACTGCTGTGCGACAACTATTGCTAGTACGACGACTACTACTATTAACATCAATACACATACTTAATGCTAATACTAAGAGTAATACTAATTCGAATACTATTACTCATACTAAACATCCTAATATCAATACTACCACAAAACTAATACTAATGCTAACACTGATACAAGAATTAAGATCTACAAACAGTAATAGTGGTACGAAGAGCAGAATTCAGATTAAGATTGGGACTAGGAGCGCTGCATGCGTGTGAAGAAATTTCCAAAAATTGCAAACCATCTAAAAGAACATTTTGGAATTGAGTTTGGGAGAAGTGTCTGTCGCCTATCCGTTGACAGATCCTGCCTGGGGACGCACGCCACCCTTCCCCTTCCCCACGACGGTCTGTCATGGGGGGGGGGTGAGCATATATATATATATATATATATATGTACACATGCATGCATGCATGCATACGTACATACATACAGGCACTTACATATGAATATACCCACAAATACATACATACCTATTTATATATATATATATATGTGTATATGTACACACACTTTAGTTCATATAAAGCTCTGTAAAGATCTTTATGTACATACATATATATATATACACATAATATTCATGCACATATCTACATATATATATATATATGTATGTATAAGCTGTATGTGTACATATATATATATATGTATATGTATGTATATATATATATATATGTATGTATATATGAATGCAGAAGTGCAGCAGTTTCGTGTTGTAAACCTCAGTCTGTGTTCAGCGCGATGGTAGTGGTTTTACAGGACCAGTCTATGACATCACATGACATGACTCGCACGTTCGATACTTCGACCTGGGATGAGTGATTCGGAGTAATCATGCTGCAAGTAACCAGTGGTACCACTAGCAGCACCTCAAATTGGAATTGGGGCTTGGGTGTTTCGGGCTGAGGACTAGTAGTTGACGGGCAGGTACGAATTTATAGTACTGCAGATTCTGGGAGCATGCAAAGCTCCCTCAGTATCATAGGAAGAGCAGGGAAAGGGCGCCTTAAATCAGAAAGCGAAGAAGCCCCAGCTGTGAACTCTGAGCCTGAAACCCCGAGCGCCGAACTATAAAGCCTGAACCCTAACACAAGGCCGTAACCCCAAGCTGCAAAGCTTAAGCCCTGAACCCTAAACCCTGAGACCCAAACCTAAAAACTTAAAATGAAAAACCAAAACCTTAAACACATAAGAGCCTAAAACCTTAAACCCGAAACCCCTAAACCCGCTACCCCTAAACCCCTAAACCCTAAACCCCTAAACCCTAAACCCTAAACCCTAAACCCTAAACCCCTAAACCCTAAACCCCTAAACCCTAAACCCCTCTTTCCAGGCCTCTTCCAGGAGAAGTTCCAGGCTCCCCCGGCCGACAAGTCCGGGCGCCCCTCCAAGGACGGCTCAGGGTCCTTTTGAAGGGTTCCTAGGGTTCCTAGAGGGGTTTAGGGTTTGGGGGTCTTTTGAAGGGTTTCTAGGGTTCCTAGTGGGTTTAGGGGTTGAGGGTTTGGGGGTCGTTTTGGTTTAGGGGTTGAGGGTTTGGGGGTCGTTTTGAAGGGTTCCTAGGGTTCCTAGGGGGTTTAGGGGTTGAGGGTTTGGGGGTCGTTTTGAAGGGTTCCTAGGGTTCCTAGAGGGTTTAGGGTTTGGGGGTCTTTTGAAGGGTTTCTAGGGTTCCTAGTGGGTTTAGGGGTTGAGGGTTTGGGGGTCGTTTTGGTTTAGGGGTTGAGGGTTTGGGGTCGTTTTGAAGGGTTCCTAGGGTTCCTAGGGGGTTTAGGGGTTGAGGGTTTGGGGGTCGTTTTGAAGGGTTCCTAGGGTTCCTCGGGGGTTTAGGGGTTGAGGGTTTGGGGGTCGTTTTGAAGGGTTCCTAGGGGGTTTAGGGGTTGAGGGTTTGGGGGTCGTTTTGGGGTTCCTAGGGGGTTTAGGGGTTGAGGGTTTGGGGGTCGTTTTGAAGGGTTCCTAGGGTTCCTAGGGGGTTTAGGGGTTGAGGGTTTGGGGGTCGTTTTGAAGGGTTCCTAGGGTTCCTTGGGGGTTTAGGGGTTGAGGGTTTGGGGGTCGTTTTGAAGGGTTCCTAGGGTTCCTAGGGGGTTTAGGGGTTGAGGGTTTGGGGGTCGTTTTGAAGTGTTCCTAGGGTTCCTAGGGGGTTTAGGGGTTGAGGGTTTGGGGGTCGTTTTGAAGGGTTCCTAGCCTTCGTAGGGGGTTTAGGGGTTGAGGGTTTGGGGGTCTTTTGAAGGATTCCTAGGGGGTTTAGGGGTTTAGGGGTTGAGGGTTTGGGGGTTTAGGGGTTTAGGGGTTTAGGGTTTAGGGTTTAGGGTTGAGGGTTTGGGGGTTTAGGGTTGAGGGTTTGGGGGTTTAGGGTTGAGGGTTTAGGGGTTTAGGGTTTAGGGTGTATGGGTTTAGGGTTGAGGGTGTATGGGTTTAGGTTACTAGGGAGTTTAGAGTTTATTCCAGAGTTTGGGATTCCTGCAGAGTTCAGGCTTTAGGGTTTAGGGTCCCTAGAGAGTTTGGGGTTTTTCACGGTCCCAAGCTGGGTTCCCAAAAAAGTCTAGGGTTTAGGATTGGAGGGATTCAGGAGATTTACTGGTTGAGCAGTGAAGGGTTTCGGGTGTTCGGGTTGTGAGTTGCAGGTTTTGGTGGCTCAGCTTGGTTTTTAGGGTTGCAAGGTTTAGGGCGGCAGGGTTCGCGTTTATAACTATATATATATATATATATTTTTTTTTTTCTGAGGGGTCCTTGAGGGGTTGGGGTGTAGGCTCAAACAATAAACAACACAAAGGTTGTCGACTTAAGGTCCGGGATTCGAGAGCTTCTTACCGAGGCAACTATTGTCAAGTGTTTCGTCGGTGTCACAGGGCAGGCAGTGCTAGGAAGATATCGCTCAGGAGTTTTGGGACTAGCAATATTGTGGGTCCTCGGCAGAGGCAGAGTATCGATAGCTTTCGGCTGTACGATGGCTATCAGCCCAAACAACCGGGTTTCAAAGTTGAATGCCGGGTTTTCAGCAGGCCCTTTTACTGAGAACTGCTAACGTTTTCGTAGCATCCTTACTTGCAAGGGCTTGTGTGTATTAACTCCATCAGTTTGACGTAAACTTGTGACAAAGTGCTGCTGCTGCTGCAACTGCTGCCACAACATGTCGTGCAGAGCTGCACAGCTGTCGTTCGGGGCCACAGATCGCCTTGTTAGCTTGCTGCGGAGCTGTGCAGTGCATACCGCAGGATGTCCTGTACATGCGCAAGAAGCTGCGCTTCTAAGACGGTGCGGGCACGGGAGACGGTTGTGCTAGAAAAACAATGCCTGCGATTGTCATGCATTGGAATGTCTCCACCAATCGAAAACATACGCGTTTGTGTGACAGCAGCTTTGCATCGAGGCTCTGTCAGCCAAAGCATCACACGGAGCTTCGCAAGAACTTACAAGATCTTACAGGCCCGGGCCTGTACCTGAAGCATTAAGGATCCGAGAAGCAAGCACTTGTAGATCCGTGTCGCATGGTAACCTCTCCCACTCACGGATTCCTATGTAGTCTGCCGCCGGTAGCATGGCCTGATGGGCTGAACGACTGATGGCGCGTGAAGTCTTATGCTGGAGCGACGTGTGGGTCTACCACGAATGCTGCGACGTCGCTACTTACGGGCCAGGAGGTTGGTGCCTTAGCCCGGTGCACCGGGCATTACTTGTGCAAGTTCAAGCCGGTTTGCGTGTTGTGTCATCACGTCATCAGTGGGCTAGTGCAGCTGATGCTGATGGTACTATCACTACTACTACTACTACTACTACTACTACTACCACCACTACTGCGATGACGACTACTACTACTACTACTACTACTACTACTACTACTACTACGACTACTACTACAGCCACAACTACTGCTACTACGACGACGACTAATACTACTGCGACTACGACGACGACTACTACTAAAACTCCTACTAGTTCCTACCACGTGCCAGAAATATCAAGGCCGACTCCGTTCAGAGGTATACGGTGATCACACCTCCAGGTACGGGCAGACTCACTCTTCCTGTTTGTCAAGAGATCTTCAGACAGCGAGCCCGGTGCCCGCATATGTGGGATGACCCGAGCCATATGCCATAGACCCCCTATCCCAAACCAAAAACCCTCCTCCTATTCGAAGCCGTAACCTCGCTATCCTACAGTTGAAAACGCCTATAAACCCTAAACCCTGCTCTTCTTTCTAAACCCCAGAGCAAAACCCTCCTATCTCCTTGTCTTTTCAGCTGAGGCCTCGGCTTGTGCTTCTCCCAGGAGATCCTCACGTTCGACCTCTGCTGTCCTCATCCGTACTACCGGCCCATACCGCCGCCGAACCTAAAGGCGGGGAAGTATGGCCATCATTGCTTCTGACAAGATTGGTTGAGGGCCTAGTGGTTATGAATTACTACTAGAATCACTAGAAGTGCGGGTATCGGGGCATCGTCTTCAGGGGATACCGTGTCAGACTTGGTGTTCGCTACAGTAAAGTCCTGGAAGCCGACCCCCTCAAGCACCGAAAGTCTTAAAGCCCCAGCCTCGACGCCCTACGCCCCGACATGAACCTCTTAAAGCCGTGAGCTCAGCCCGAAAGCCCTAAAGCTCGAAACCCAAACTAGAGAAGCCCTGGACCCTTCACTCGGAAAGAGGGAGAGTTCGGAGTAGGTGAAGAAACCGTGAGGTTGAAATCGTGGACTCACCCTGGGGTGATGTTCACCTGGGCTGTGACTCCTCGTTTCCCTGGGCTCCTCATGCTCTCGCCCCTGCCCGTGCCCCAGTACTACGGGGGCCTAAATAATTACCTATACTGTTTTGGGGGTTCCTTATTACAAGCATAGTACATCGGTCCCCAAAACCCATAGTCTAATTATTAAGGCCCCTATAGTAATCTGTAGATTTAGGTTTTGGACTCGGAATTCAGGTTTGTTGGAATCCAGGTTGTGCAGAGTTTCGTCTCGTTGCCGGGGCCTAAGGGTGTCAAATTCCAAAGTTGAGTCCCATCTTGTTCATGCACCGCGTAGGGTTTAGGATTTAGGGTTTAGGATTTAGGGTTTAGGGTTTAGGGTTTAGGGTACAGCGTGTTTCAACAGTTTCCCAGGTCAGGTCATCATGTCATCATCGCTGCTACTATTCTAGCTGCAGATCAGAGAACACTGGAAGGAACGCCAGTTTGTCCAAGCAAAGAAAAGCCGAACACACCCCCCCCTCGAAATCGTCAGACATTGTAAGATCCCCTACTATGTAGCTCGGACGGTTTTGGGTATCAGGGTGATGGGTTGCTGCTTTGACCAGTGCTTCTTGCAAATTTCTGGGTGCCAACACAAAGCCGGCACGACATCCAATCGCCTTACACGCATTACCTTTACGTCTGCCTGTTACCTGCTGGAGCAATACACAAATTTTGTGAGCTAAGACAGAAGCCTCAGCTATATTCCGAGCTGCATGCACGCAGATCTTGCCACGCAAACACCCCCTGTGTAGGTGCATCCCCCGCGACCGTCTGCATTGAATATTTTCCACGACCATCAGTAGTCTGAGCTCCCAAGAATGGCTGAACTGAACTTCCCTGAGACCCTAAACCCTAAACTAATTTAACCTTTGGGCAGACCAGAACCCTGCTGAGAAAGGCTTTGCTTCATGGTCCGGCTTATCACCCCAACACCGGCGAACACATGGAGGTTGGCCCGGGCTTTGGGCATCCATGCATCCATGCATGTCTGTATGTGTCTATGCATATGGCTGGCTGGGTGGGTCCCTGGGTGGGTGGGTGGGTGGGTGGCAGTGTGTGTGTGTCTGTGTGTGTGTGTGTGTATGTGTGTGTATGTAGGTTGGTAGGTACGTAGACAGGCAGGGCAGGTAGGCAAGCAGGCAGGTAGGCAGGATGGCTGGCTGGATGGATGGATGGACGGAGGGAGGAAGGGAGGGATGAATGGATGGATGGATGGATGGATGGATGGACGACGAATGCACGGATAAACCGATGGACGGATAGATGGACGGATGGGGAGGGAGGGACGGAGGGAGGGATGGACGGATGGATGCGTGAATGTGAGCTGTCATATCAAACTGGTGCTCGCTAGTTGGCGCGCTCATATCCTTCGAGATGCTGTTCTGACGCCCGAAACCTTAACCCTAAAACATAGAGACCCGAAGCCCTAAACCCGAAAGCCTAGATGCTGTCCGTCAGGACTTGCTACCATTTGAAGGATCGACAGGGCGTGGAGTGCGTCAGGCGTGGACAGCACTAATTCAGCTTCCGCCACTTTTGGGTCCCTTTAAGGGGTCTTTAAGGTTCTGGGTTGTGGGGGTTCAGGAATGAGGACTTGAGGGCATAGCAGCCACGAGGCAGATCCATGAAACTTAAGATTGAAGCAGGGAGCTTATTATTATTATTATTATTACATTTAATATTATTGTTATTAGTGTTATCATTTTAAGTATTATTAGCGATGTCGACGATCGATGTGGTGACGTGGGGGCTTCTCGCAGCGGGCGGTAGATCTCTACAGGGTCGCGTGAACCAGACCGAGAATCAAAGAGTACCAAAGCCCCGAACTTTGAAGAACCATCCCACACCCGAAGGCATTCGCCTCTAAGCCTTCCACCCCCCTAAACCCTAAACCCTCGACCCGAAACCCTAAACCAAGCCCATGGGAAAGCTTTCTGCCCTCAGCCCGACATTCTAGACACCTAGATTCTGAGCCCGAAGCCTCTCTTAGTAGCTGATTGGACACACTTTACACGTTTTGGCATAGCAGTACCACTATAAAACTAAAAGTGTACACTTTTGGGGGGGCTTATGAACTCAGCAACTAAGCTCCAAAGACCCAACGGCCTACAATCCCAAACCCCCGGTGGACCGGAGCGCATAACCCAAAATAGGAGGATTCATATGGGTGGTTGTCAAAATTAGGGTCTTTTTGGTTCCCTGATATACTACGGCACCTAATATTTAGGGTACACAAAAGAGACCATAATTTTGACAACTACCCATATAAAGAACCCTAGTAAAGGCCCCAGGTTTCTTAGTCAGGCTCCTACGTTAGCCCCCGAAACCGTGGACAGGAGCGCATGGGCCTGCGAGGGTCCGATGAGGAAGCTGCAGATCGTACGCAGCGAGTGAGGCTTGTGAGGGAGCCTGGGGTTGGGAGTTTTAAACACCCGATCTTCAACCGGGCTTTACAGGGTTCTAGGAGGGGGTTCTGGGGCTTTACAGGGATTAAGTATAGAGAGTTTGGGAGATTAAGAGTGAAGGGTTTTGGGGTTGTGGAGTTTGATGCCGTGTGGTATGTTCCGGGTTTGTGGAGTAGGATTCTTCAGAGCTCTATGGTTATAGTTATATAGGATGTAGGTCGGGGGTTGGTGCTTCAGAGGTTACGGGTTGACATTCGGATTGTATTCGGAGTTGGTTTCCGGTTTCAGGGTCGAGATTTGGGAGTTGCCGAAAATAGGGGACACTAATATAGTACCCTAAATAGTGGGATCCTTATTATAAGGACCCCAATAAGGTGCCCCTAATTTTCGGAAACTCCCATTTAGTGCCCTAAGGGCTCCAGGGCTTTGGGTCTTTTCGGATTTGTGGGTTTAGGGTTTAGGGGTTTAGGGTTTAGGGGTTTAGGGTTTAGGGTTTAGGGGTTTAGGGTTTAGGGGTTTAGGGTTTAGGGGTTTAGGGTTTAGGGTTGTGGCTTGGGTTTCAGAGCGGGGGGTGGGCTTTTGCTGACGTGCGCTTCTGAGGAGGATGGGTTTGCTGACCAACATGTCGGGGCTCCAAGTATACAAGTAGTACCTACTTTGGGGCTAAAGTCTATAAATAATGCCTACTTTGGGCTATTTGGAGCCACAGGGTTGCTCTGATTCGAAATGAACGGATCGTGTGTTATGTAAGAGCTCAACCCGGTAAATGTCTTTGCAGCCATGGGCTTTGTGGCATCATTGTAGGGTAACGAGTACTGAGTATCTGAGGAATGCAATACCTTCAAAACCCTATTCAACCTATTCTAAGAAATGAAACCCTACAAAGTCCCGATAGAACCCTTGAAGGAACACTATTCAGCCCTATTCTAATCATCGACGCCCCTAAATTACATGCCTAAACTAGGTAGGATTGTAGGACATTTTCATTTTCCTTATTTGGGTTTATAAGGGACTCTATATATATATATATAAATAAATAAATAAATATTCTTCAGGGTGTTCAAAAGCCAACCCAGAAAAGCCGGAGGCACGAGATCGCGAGGCGATGGAGCACCATGGGATT